ATCGATCACATGTTACATGCATGATGTCGAAATCGTCGATAGTGTAGTGGTAGTGATAACCAGACATTGAACAACCGGCCCTTAATTGTGTTACTTCCATCTTGTATATTTACTGAGGATTAAAACGGCATGCCGGTCGACTCAAGCGGTTGGTCAAACTTAAGTGATAAATAAATCACACAAGCTGCTGATTAAACCTACTTTAGTATTTTCCCATACACTTTTTTGTAGATGAAAAATAAATTTAAACTTAAATATCGATATTGCGGGTAAAGTATCGATCTCTTCGAATTATCGACCTTGGAATATCGATTCAAAAAATCGATTATCGTGCCATGAAATATCGATATTCAGAATAATCGATACGATATCGAACATTCCTACGCCAAGTAGGATAGCGGGTAAAAGGCCCTACGCCAAAGGCCTGGCGCCAATTGGAAATGCCAAGTGAATACAAGTCCTTCTCCACCTGGGAGCTACTCTGTAATGCGATGCGTAACGCAATGCAATGCGAAAATGAAATGCGATGCGAAAACTATTTGGCACTCTGTATTGCTATCGCATCGTTGACAATGTTGCTTCTTTTATTTTTGGTTTATTTCTTGCTAAGTTGGCAATAGTGAGCACAATTGTCAAAGAAAGAGAGATCAAAACAAAAAAAGTAACTAAAATTTGAAGAAGCAATTAAAATATTCGTTTTAAAAATGGACTCTGTGGAATTGTGGGACGATTCAAATGATGAAAGGATTGAGAGGAGAATTAGTACAGATAATTCCAACGTTATGAGCCTCAGCGATAAAAGATGGGTGAGCTAAAATGCTTTGTTTAAAATATACACCAAACTATGTTCTTGTTCTGGGCATTTAGTTTTGTGCAGAATTTTCGTCTGACTAAAGAGGCATTTTTAAATGTGCTAAATAATGTTAAAAATGAGCTAAAAGCTCCGCAAAGGTCCACCGCAATCCCCGAAATGATAAAGCTTTCCAGCAACTAAAGGTTTCTTGCTCAGGATGGGTACCAACACTTGATTGGTCAAGACCGTCATGCAGGGCTGGCACAGCAAACGGTTTCTAGTTGCATTTTTTAAGTTTACAAAGCGATCGAGAAGGTGCTGTGTCCAAAGCACATAGTATTTTCAATGACGAATGAGGAGAAATTAGATGCCAGCAGAAGTTTTTACTCCACATGTGGACTTCCGGGAGTGATTGGAGCGGTAGATGGAACGCACATTCAATTGATAAGGCCATCAAAAGATGAACATTTGGGGTGTTCACAGTTCGTTCCAAATAGTGTCTGAAAATGTAGACGTCTACATTTTAAGACGTTTTCTAACCGTAAAATCTGTGGTGTTGTTGTTTCCCATACAAAATTGGAAAACGACGCCGTCTACATTTTGTCACACTCAAAGGTATGTTTTTTACGCGTCTACATTTTGCAACCTCGCAGCAGGGTTGCATTATGGCAATACTAATCACATTTTTTTTATTTATTGGGCACGTTTTTTGTATTTGCATTTAATTTGAGTGCAATTTCTGATGAAAAGAAACAAATCAAGGAAAAGAAATAACAAATATTAGGAATTGGTAATTAAGTTAAATAATTACAATTTTTCAGAAAGAAAATCGAAAGGCGATATATAAAAAATGCACGCAAAGAGGAAATGTCTGGCAACACCAGCAAAGTTTTGAGACGATTTTGCGACGACTGCTAGAAAGGTGTGCTCACAGTTTGATGCTAAAGATGTCTCAAAATGTAGACGTCTACATTTTCAGACACAATTTGGAACGAACTGTGAACACCCCAATTTATTTTTCAATAGGAAGTTAAAGCACAGCATAAATGTAATGGTGGTAAGCGCGTTTTTCATTGAAATAAGTTAACTTTTACTTAACCAGTAAATTTGTTTCTACTTTAGATATGTGACCACAAATGCGTATTAGGGCTGTTAATGGTACATTTGGAGGTGCGTCGCACGATTCTCACATATGGAATTTATCAAACGAACGTGATTATATGAAAACGAACTACGAAAATGGAGATAACAATACACGAATCCTTGGTAAGTTTTTTGATATTGCACGTCAAAGTAGAAATCGTATGCATACAACTTCGATGTTGGTGCCATGAACTTGCAGCTGTATGCATACCAGTATAAATCAACCTTCACTTAACATGGGTGGTTTCTCAGAGATCTTCAATCAGAAATTGTCGAAGGGAAGGTCGATTATTGAAGGAGTTTTTGGTGTGTTGAAAGGATGATTTCGTTGTGTTTTAGCCGCAAGGGAGCTGCATTATGCTCCAATAAAAGTGGTGCAAATACTTAATGTATGTTGTGCTCTTCACAACATCTGTATTTTGTACAATGTGGAAACCCTCCCAATATCGAAATTGAACCAGAAGAAATATCCGCGGTTAATGTAAACAATATGGAAAATTATAGTTTTGGAAATATTGCTAGAAATATAAGAGATCAAATAAAAAATAATATGATTGCCACTGCAAATTTGATTTATTACAAAATTAAAAAAAAAACTTTTTTAAATATATATCGCTTCACTCTTTTATTAAAATGAGGTAAATAAAATATACCGACATAAAAAATCTAAAATAAATTCTCTAAACGTAATAATACTTCAATGTATAATGTATAAAAGTTATTCATGTTAACTATCTTTTTGAAAGTGCATTGTTGGTTTTTAATTCCACATCCAACATTTGCTTTTTAATTTCTAATTTGTTTACTTCAAGTCTCAATTTTTGTTTGTGGAGAAATTTTTCTTGAGCTGGACTCAACTTTTTCTTTTAAATTTTTGAATTTTTCTTCATTGTTTTGAATATTTTTTTCAAATTGCCATTAATTTCACCTAAAATATTGGTGGAGTTTTTTTTGATAAGTAATTTGGTTTTCCACTTGTTTTTCTAAAAGACTCCGCTTTTTGCGCGGAGTATGTACGACATTATTGCAAATAACTTCCTCATTTTCATGCAAGTTGGATTCAATAGAATCATTTGCATCACCTATAGACTCCACATGACATTCAATTGGTATTTCGGTCACGGTTTGCGCTATACCAAACTCCCTTGCGCCTGTTACACCGCTCACCGACTGTTCCATTGATAGCCACTCACTCACTTGCTGCTCCAATTGTGTGAGCTGGGTATAAGTAGAAGGTCCACCGTCTGTACCCGAAATATTTGTTTTGTTTCGACGCAGTTTGGCCTTCAAATGTAGTTTGTAGTCAGCCCAAAACTAAAAGATATTTAAATTACATTTTCAAAATAATTTTTGTATACATATTGCGCTGAAATTACTTTTTTCCAACCGACCATGTCGCGCATCGGTAGGCCAGCTGCATTTAGCTGCGAAGTAACTCGTTTCCATAGATTGGTGGACACGGTTTTAGCGTTTGGCGTCTTCATCAACCCCTTGGCCAATTCCGGATGAGTTACCATGAAATCTACGAGGATTTCGAATGGTTTTTTCTGCTTTTGTTTCGTTTTCGTACTTTCCCTATATATTTTTTATGAAATTTCAGCTATAAAAGTATACAATTTGCATTTTAAACTTACGTTTTTAAACGTTGCGAATGCTTCTCAGTTGTAGCAGTAAAAATGCGGATGAAACTACCGTTTGACACTCGCTATCGCAATACACAGTGCTGCCAATGCGAAAGGGAAACATAAAAGGCCTAAATTTTTACATTCGCATCGCATTACATAGTAGACCCCCTGGTCTTTCCAACTCAGTGGGGGCTTTCCTCTTCTTCTGTTACCAGCAGCGTCGGTGTCCATTCGAACGACATGACCAAGCCAGCGGAGCCGCTGTATTTTAGTCCATGTCCATGTCTAAGGAGATAGAAGTAATATCCTGGGAGAGCTATAACCCTGAGAGCTTAACAAGTTTACTTAGGCAGTGCGATTTCTCGAACTTAAGTTTTTTTGATGCTGACGGTATGCTGAAGTATATTACTCATTGCATTATGTGCTCCACGAGGCAGTTGACTTATGGGCCGTTTTTGCTTACGCGTAAAAGCACATTTAGAGCATTTAGCTCTAAATGCTACTCTAAATGTACATTTATCCATACAAAATTCGTCACCTAAATGTAACTAAATGCAACTCCATTTTTGCATTAAGAATCTAAATGCTAAAAGCAACCCTGTGACCTTCCAAAATTTCCACGATTCGAACGTGGTTTATTGAGAAAAAGTGGCAAAAGTTGCTTTTTCGCGTATACAGTGGCTAGCTGCGTTTCAGTGATCGCCGATCGAGATTTCATTTATTATTGTACATTATTTGTATAAAAAAAGTTACGCGAATTCAACATCGATGTGATGCTGATAGAAATATGGATCAATTTGTGATCAACTCTGTTCATTTTGTTTCCTAATTAAGTGAGGAAATTTTAATTGACAGCACCGACAAATGAATATATACACAAACAAAAAAATGGTCTTATAAAGAGATCGTTTAAGTACTTGGGAAGAAGATATAAAACATTGGTGTACAGGTCAATAGTAGAACCGCACTTTATATACTGCCCTACGATTTTCTTCCTAGCGGGGGACTCACATGTAGATAAGCTGCAAAAAATGCAAAACCGAGTGATGAGATTCATCCTCAACAAACCGTACGACACACCAACAAGATGTATGCTTGAAACCTTGAATTGGTTAAGCGTGAAGCAACAAGTTTTTTACGACGCTATTAAATTTGTGTACAATATTAAGAAGGGCAACCTGCCGGTTTATCTTAGCGATAATCTCCGATATATAAATGAGACCCATACATATTTGTTGAGGGAGAATAACAGCTTCATACTCCCGAAGTATAGAACGGAAGTGGACAAAAAAAATATTTTTTATAAGGGCTTAAACTGCTTTAATGAATTACCAGAGGCTATAAAAAATGTGATACTATCAGTCTTTTCAAGCGGCTGCTATATGACTATTGTAAAACGCAGCCTACAAGATAGTGATGTATCAACAATAGCCTTTAGGCCTTTTCAACCACCAAGATATCGAGACTAGGTGGATCGGAAACTCGGCCTTTCCGACTACCTAGAGTACATTAAAACCCTTAGATATTAAACAATAAATGAGCGGATTGGAAACTAGGCCTTTCCAACCGTCACGAAAGCATGACTGGGTGGACCGGAAACTCGGCCTTTTCGACCACCTAGGAGATATTAAGAAACGGAGTAACCCAAAAGTATAGCCCTACACACGCATTGATTTAATGGCCAACCAGTTGACCAACCCACTTAACGAAATTCCCTACAAACGCACCAACCAGTTGGCCGATTTCATTTGAGTGAGAGTTTTTGAACTGTGAAAAACACAACAGCACCGTTAAACTTTTAAGGTACACTAGGAATGCTTATCATTTTTATGTATTTATTATTGCTACCGGCCCCGTTTTTCACAAATTATACGCAGTTTCACCAGCGAAATGAACCGAAAAACACTTGTTAACGTTAATGCGTCTTTAAAAAATTAAAACGCATTTTAGGTTGCCAACTTGTCTACACACAGAGCAACAAGTTGACCAATCTTTCTCAAAAATCAAAAAATTTTGATTTTGGTCCAACCCGACGACAACTTGACGAAGGTTTGCCAACTTGCCTACAAACGGCTTACGCTAGGCGCACATTGCATCCGATAGGCCGACCGATTTCGGCGGAACAATTTGACAGTCCGAACTAATGCGCACACTTACCAGATTATTTGCCGACCGTATTTGTACACACAAATCTAGTTTTCATTACAATTTTGTAAGCAGTGAAATATTTTGATACATTTGAATTGACATACTCTAAATGTTGTGAACCAACCATTATAATCATTTACATTCATGTTGTGAACCAACCTTTATATTTTTGGCATTCACACTTGGACCATCTCTAACAAAAATATGTTTTTTAAACTATGTTCACATATAAATATTATCTCAATCAAAGCTCGTTTTTT